AAAATTAGCTGGGTGTGGTCGGGTGTGCCTGTAATCCCAGATACTTGGGAGGGTAAGGCAGGAGAACCACTAGAACCTGAGAGACGGAGGTTGCAGTGAGCTGAGGTGGCGCCGCTGCACTCCAGCCTGGGTGACAGAGCGAGACTCCATCTCAAAAAAAAAAAAAAAAAGCTTTCTGTTTTTTCAGATTATATAAATAAGACATGCTCATTGTGAGGTAATAACATGTAAAAATGTAAAGATCACCTGAAATCCCACCATCCTGTGACAACCACTGGTGGCTTTGTATCAACTTGGCTAGACTGAACTACATTTCCCAGAACTCTCTTCCCAATGTCTCAGGTTAAGATGAGCCACAAATTCCTGTGCCAGATCTGCAGAGCCCAAATGCAGCAGCAGCCCTTGAGTAGCTGGCACACCTTGCTGGTGTGAACCCCATCTGTGCCTGGGCCTGCAGCTGCTCCACCTTCCCCTGGATATTCCTTTAGCTCCTCTGCGAGGGATCTCAGTTTCAGCAGGATGCCCACATTATCAAGGTCAAAAGCAACAAGAACGGGCAGATTTTAGCATCCTCATGGGCTCCAGCCCACGCCTGTGGGTTACAGCTTGTTCTCCCCAACTACATCTTTTCTGACTACCCACCTTGTGGGCTTTAAGCTCCAGCATCAGACAGGAAGAGAACAGCCTTTCAGAAACTACTTCACTACCTTCTCTTTGTATGTTAACCATTGGAAATTAGGAACATTTTAACAAAACTTATGAACATATTTGCATCTTTGAATAGGAAGAAAAATAAAATGTGTAAGAAGTATCCTATAAATAACATCAGTCCTTAATTTTAAGGATGTGGAAAATGAAGGTTCCAAGAGAAAAAATCTGTTAGTTTTGAACCTGACTTGTCTACTGTTTAAAGATTGCTTCTCAAATTCCACTTAATGTGGGTTTCTTCCCCACAGAACACACACACTCTCTCTCTCTCTCTCTCTCTCTCTCTCTCTCTCTCTCTCTCTCTCTCTTTTTCTCTCTCTCTCTCAAAGCTTGGGCTACCTCTCCTAGACCAGGATTTTTTTTTTTAGATTGGAGTCTCCCTCTGTCGCCCAGGCTGGAGTGCAGTGGCATAATCTCAACTCACTACAACCTCTGCCTCAGGTTCAAGCAATTCTGGGATTACAGGCACCTACCACCACACCGGGTGATTTTTGTATTTTCAGTATAAATGGGGTTTCGCCATGTTGGCCAGGCTGGTCCCAAACTCATCACCTCAAGTGACCCATCCACCTTTGTCTCCCAAAGTTCTGGCAGTATTTTTTAAGAAGTTTGGGTGTACGTTATCTCTTCAACACCCATGACATACTCACCACTACTAAATCAATAAAGAAGGCAAATGCTGTTAAAAATGTCCTTGGTAAAGAAGATCTAGTGAAGTGATGCCAGAGGAGGGCTCTCCAGCCTGCGTGGAACTGGGTGTCCTAAGGATCTCTCTGATGCAAAATCAGTCCACAAAGACAATTTTAAAATGACTTGGGAACTGTCCATGTGACACCACTTTTAGGAAAAGCAGGTTCTATACTATACAGATTAAAAGATGACTCTCAAGCTAGAGCACAGAGTGTGGGCAGGGGCCAGATGGAAAAAAGGCAAAATGCGAAACACCAGGCTGTAATGAGTGTCTTACTGTACTTGAGTTTCCAAGTGAAATTGGAGGTAATTTAGTTCTATAATAACAGGACTGTGCATTGGCAGATCTGTAACTGCTAATTATAGAATCTGAAACATTAACAACAATGTTGAAAATCGTTCTTGTAAAACACTTCTAGAGTTGCATAATAGTTGTAAAGTTCCTAGTTCTTTGATTTCTGAAGCCACTGACAGGCGTATTGAGGACAGACGATCCTAAGCAGAGCGGCAGATGCTATTCTGTGCTCAAGGCACTGGCTCAGCACTGGGGCTGGGATGATGCAGACCCCGTTCTTGCTTAACAGGGGATTAAGATTTAGATAAAGAATTTAATAAGGTTAAAGAGTAGGCCTGGGAGAGGAAAGGTCACCTAAGGAGACAGCATGTGCGTGGAGCCTTGAGGTACTGGATAGGTGGTCATGGTGGGAAATAATTAAAATTATACTCTTAAAAATCCTCAGAACCTGAATTATGAAACTGAAAGCTTTCTCTCAGATACCAAAATCCTCAAAGTCAGCTTTTAAACGACAGCTCAGTGTTCACTTAAAGCTTCAATATAATTCAGCAGTGAAATACAGTTTCGCTGTAGCTTCTAGAAGCACTCAGATTCTATCAGGATAGAAACATATGGCAACAAAATAGAGAAGTTACTGATAAACTCATTTCTCCTAGTGCAGTTTTTTCACTCCTAAGCTGAACCTGATGACTTCTAAGTAGGGGGAAAAAAGGTAGTTGCACGTTTTATGAATGTTTTCACTTTAACCAGTCTTTACTTGCTTGGGAAGTTTGGAGTAGAAGAGGCCGTGACTACTTGGTTCCAATACCTCCTTCGCACCAGGGCTTACCCAGCTGTGGGACCCTGTACAGGACACTCTTAGAGCTCAGAGCCTCATCTGTGAAATAGATACCAACATCAACAAGATAAAATTACTGTGAAAATAACCTATAAATAAGAACAACTTAAAGACGTCTTGCTGCAGGTTGACTACTTCTAGCCTTACCAGGAGTAACTTTTAGGTCTAAGAAGGAAGTCTTTTGGCTAAAGAACAATAGAGTGACCTTTGATGAGATTATTAGGCTCCCTAAAAATGAAAGGCATTATATAATTTAAAACTAGCACCAACTAGAGATTTTAATCTCAAAGGTATAAATTAGACTATGGTTAAAACAGAAAAAAAAGACTCAACAGTAAGATTCAAGTTTCATCTTGGGTGACTAGACAGGTCACAGGTCACTAACTCTGTGATCTAACAAGGAGGTTATCTATGCTTCAGTTTCCTCCTCTGGGAGGCAGATTTATGTATGCATGTTTGTTTGCTTTGGAGATGGAGCCTCCCTCTGTCACCCAGGCTGGAGTGCAGTGGCACGATGGCTCACTGCAACCTCTGTTTGAGGCAGATTTATGATGATACTTTACCACTTTGGAGGTTACTGAAAATAATACAATATTTGTGGATTATCTCTTAAATTTATAGGTTGAAAATGGAAAAGTATTAGCATATTCTCATAATTAGGATTCCATAAGTCTTACATTTCAGATATAGGAGGGGCGATCCTAAGTGGCCACACTGAAACCAGTAATATTAATATATACCAACCTCAGGGAAATGCTCCGCTTCCCCTAAACTGCTTATGAATGCTATTAAGATATTAAAACTACTGAAGTTTCACTCATTAAACCAATCCTGAAATCTACCTTACGGTGACATTTTTCCTAGGGAAGAGACTGCTACCTGTGGGCACAAATACCAGTGTTCTCACAGGCACACAGCTAGATTCCATCTCCCGGCCTCCCTTGCAGATGTGGTCATGTAACTCAATGGAATTGGGAGTGGAAATGATAGTGTGCTACTTTCACGCCACACTTTTAAAAGGAGGCATGTTTCCTTCTTACTCTCTTCTACAGGGGCTTAGCTATATGGTCATACTCTGCTTAACAACAGGGATACAGTCTGAGAAATGCATTGTTAGGCTATTTTGTCATTTGCGAGCACTGTACAGTGCACGTATACACACCTACATGGTATACCCTGCTCCACACCTAGGCTATACGGTATAGCCTGTTGTCCCTAGGCTACAAATCTGTACAGCATGGTACTATACTGAATACTGTAGGCAACTGGAACATAATGCTAAGTATTTGTGTAATTCAACACATCGAAACACAAAGGTACAGTAAAAATACAGTATTATAATCTTATGGTGCTTAAACTTCATTATCTGGCACATGGCTATAAATAACCACAAGGCCCTAGGACAGCCCTTGTCAAATAGGGTTCCAAGTGAGATAATAAAGCTCCACTGCCCTAAGGCCTCCTCCACTGTATGTACTAAATGTGAAAACAGTCACCCAAACCATTTACCGTAGGCTTATTCCTTTAGTGAACTCGGGAAGAAAAGTTTGTCCTCCAGGATGACAGAGCTACATGATTAATGGAACCTGGGTCCTTGCATAACTATGGAGAAATCCTTACATAATAAATGAAAAATGTGTCATTATGGTTTTGAGGTCTATTTGTTACAGCAGCTAATATTACTCCAACAAAGTGATCACTCTAAATTGACTCTTCCTTAAGGTAAATTTGTTCTTTGTACCCACCTTTCGGTGATTAAAAAGAAGCACACAAATCAAAATAGCCACATTTTTTTTTTTTAAGATGGAGTTTCGCTCTTGTTGCCCAGGCTGGAGTATAGCGGTGTGATCTTGGCTCATTGCAATCTCCGCCTCCTGAGTTCAAGCAATTCTTCTGGCTCAGCCTCCTGAGTAGCTGGGATTACAGGTGTCTGCCACCATGCCTGGCTAATTTTTTGTATTTTTAGTTAAAATGGGGTTTCACCATGTTGTCCAGACTGGTCTCAAACTCCTTACATCAGGTGATCCACCCACCTTGGCCTCCCAAGTGCTGGGATTACAGGTGTGAGCCACCACACCTGGCCCAAATATCCACTTTTTTTTTTTTTTTTTTTTTTTTTTTTTTGAGACAGAGTCTCACTCTGTCGCCCAGCCTGGAATGCAATGGCGTGATCTCAGCTCACTGCAAACTCCACCTCCTGGGTTCAAGCGAGTCTCCTGGCTCAGCCCCCTAAGTAGTTAAGACTACAGGTGCATGCCACCACGCCCAGCTAATTTTTTGCATTTTTAGTGGAGATGGAGTTGCACCATGTTAGCCTGGATGGTCTTAATCTCCTGACCTTGTGATCTGCCCCCCTCAGCCTCCCAGGCGGGCACCACTACACTCGGCCGACATTTGTTTTCCTCTACAAAATACAAATGGGCAATTCTGATTTGATGGTGATTTTATAATCAATCAACACAAAGTCTGACATCTTTACATTTAATGAAGAAGTAGATTATTTGAAAAGTACAAATTCAATTACAATTTCAAGAAAAAAGATGTATTAATATACCATAAATATGCAAAAATTGGACTTTGAAGCCCTAATACTTCAAAAGCATTCATCCTATTCCATGCAAACCTAGTATCATTCAGCAACAGTACTACTGATTTAAAAATAGCAAGCGAATATATCTTCAAATGTAGTTTTTTGTCTTTAACTTGTACAACTCACCAAGGTTATTTTCATCCTTAGCACCCTGGGTTCACGAGGGTGTGATCCAAAGTAAACCAGCATAGATTTTTAACAGAAAACCTTTTCCAGGAACTTCATGACCTATATTTTCCTCTCCTATGAAGAAGCTGTCCCCCCTCGCATGATTCTGAACAGTGTGTTGATGTTATTGCTTCGAATTGCATCCCGACAAGCAGTGATCACCTGGTTCTTTGGTTTTCCGACTGCATGAGAAGAAACATCAGAAAGTGAAAGATTATTAGACATGAAATTATAAAATTAGAGGCCAGTTTTAAAACAACATAAAACCAGGAGAGAAAAGAGTTATATGTGAAATATAACTAATTTATCTTACCACTCCCTAAAAAAGATAACTTGGTAAAGGAATTTATTTAAAAAACTGACTTAGAGACCAACTCAAACCTAGACATCAAAAGTCAGTTTTACAGAAAAGGATCAAAGTTCATATTCACCTGGCAAAGATTATTTCTAAAAAGGTCAAAGCATTGACCTAAAACAGCAGAATTCGGGTATAAATCTCTGGCTATATTTCTGCATCCTTGGGTTTATCCTATTGTTCTTTTTCTAAATTTTTAAGTTAGACACTTAGCATTAATTGAGTCTCTTTTTTGCTAATTGGGCCTTGATGGTTATATATATAACCATAAATATATACTACATATACCTATATGCTATATATACCTACTATATATACCCCAAAGGAAATATATAAACATAAATATATATTTATATATAATTGCAAACTTCTTAGACAAACATATATTTATGTTTATATATTTCCTTTGGGGTGTATATAGTAGGTTTTTCTTTAGAGGATGCAGGAAGATGTAGGAAAAGAAGCTGCAGGTTTTCTTTTCCTTTGAAGTCTAGAGACTAAAGCCAAACACCAGGCTGACTGAAACACAAGTGACTGGTGCCAGCTCTGGAGTGTGAAAGGTATGCTACTTTCAGCCCCAATATGAATTATTGAATGCTACCACCATCTTCAATGAGTTCCACCAGAAACATTAAAGATAAAAGTGCAGTGTTATGAAAAGAGACTTACCCCGCAGACGACCTGCTCTTTGAATTGCTTGATTTACTGCTTTGAGGTTTCCCAACAGTTCTGTGTGATTGTTACAGCGAATTTTATAACCATTTAGCAAGTCTCTATTAAGGTCATAGAGTTCCATATAACGACTCTTCATTGTTTTCCTGTGCAAATCAGTAGAAATTTGACATCATTTCATCTTGATGTGGCAAGCTTAAGAAAAACTTGCAAACTTCTTAGACATATAAAGAAAAGAAGACACCATTTTTAAAGCTATATTTTCATTAAAATGGAGTAACTGCTTGTTTGCTCTGAAAACATATTTAAGTTCCATAAAAATATTCTATTCCTTCCAAATAAACAAAAGACAAGTGGCCTTCCTTGGTTACTGGTCAATAGTTAGTTTTGATTTAGGTGGTTAAGAATGCTCAAGCCTGGCCAGGCACGGTGGCTCATGCCTGTAATCCCAGCACTTTGGGAGGCCAAGGCAGGCAGATCACCTGTGGTCAGGAGTTCGAGACCAGCCAGGACAACATGGTGAAACCCTGTCTCTGTTAAAAAAAAAAAAAAAAAAAAAAAAAAAAAAAAAAAAAGAATGCTTAAGCCCACTGTGCTGGGAGTAGGGACAAGTGAGCAAGGTGACAGCCCACCTTCCAAGTTTCAGATCAATATTCATTAAACTAAAGTGGCCTGGTCTTAAAGTATTTTTAGACAACCCAGCCTTGTATTTTATCGAAGTTTAAAAAACAGTCATAAAATTAAAATTAAAATGAGATCTATACTACACAACAATGAAAATGACTAAAGAAAGAGAGAGTTGAAGATGCCAAATGCTAGCAAAGACTTGGGGCAACTAGAATTCTCATGCATTGTGGACAGAAATGCAAAATGCTGCATCTACTTTGATAAGTGATTTGGCAGTTTCATACAAAGTTAACACACCCTGAATAACACAGCAATCCCATTGTAAGGTAAAACCCAAGAGAAATGAAAACATGTATCTGCAAAAAACTTGTATGCAAGTATTTATAGCAGCTTTATTCTACAAACCAAAGTCTGGAAACAACCCAATTATTCTCAACTGGTGAACAGATAAATATCGTATATCTCCATACAGTGGAGTACTACTCAGCAACAAAAAAGAAACAAACTACAGATACATGCAACAATATGGATGAATCTCAGAAACATTATGTAAGTGAAAGAGGCCAGACTCAAAAGGATATATAGATATAGTTTGATTCTATTTATATGGTATTTTGAAAAAGGTAAAACTATAGGAAAAGAAATAAGATGAGTGGTTGCCAGGAACTGGAGGTTAGGAGAGGTACCGATACAAACAGCCACAGAGTGACAGAAACATTCTTTTTTTTTTTTTTTTTTTGTTTTTTTGAGACAAAGTTTCACTCTTGTTGCCGAGGCTGGAGTGCACTGGCACGATCTCGGCTCACTGCAACCTCCACCTCCTGGGTTCAAATGATTCTCCTGCCTCAGCCTTTTGAATAGCTGGGATTACAGCTATTCACCTGCCACCACACCTGGGTAATTTTCTGTATTTTTAGTAGAGACGGAGTTTCACCATGCTGGCCAAGTTGGTTTCAAACTTGTGGCTTCAAGTGATCTGCCCACCTTGGCCTCCCAAAGTGCTGGGATTACAAGCATGAGCCCGGCCAGTGATAGAAATATTCTATATCTCAATTGCTGTTGCAGCAACATGATTACATAAGTTTCTCAAAACTGATCAAACTGTAAACCTAAAAAGGGGAAATTTTCTGCATGTATGAGTTATATATCAATTAATTTGATTTAAAAAATAAAAATAAATATTGACATTTTGCAATCAAATGCCTAAAGCCAGTAACCCTTTTTGACTTAAGAGAGAGATGGCCCTAGAGATAGTTGGCCAAAAAGAGCAAATATCTATCTCAGTTTACAGATGATACAAAAATATATCAGAAAAACTATAAGCTAATTAGTAAAGGGCATGTTATCAAATCAACAGATAAAAATAAACCATTCATATTTACAAACACAAAACCATAATTATAGAATAAGAGATAATGTAAAAGATATTTACACTTGTAAACATCTTGTAATTGTCTAAAAATACAGAAAATACCAAAGCATAAACTTAAGAAACATCCAGTATCTATAAGAGGAACCCATTAACGCACTCCAAAAACACACAAAACATGACTTGAACAAATATAAAAGACATGCCATGTTCTTAGACAGCAAGAGTGAACATCACTGCACTGGGGTCAGTTCTGCCTAATACATTTCACATCATCTCAATTATAACATCAATTTTTGTTGCAGAGCTATAACAATTCATGATGAAATTCATTGGAAAGAATAAACAAGCACAAGTAGCTAGGAAAAACCATGAAAAAGAAAAGCAAGAGGAGTTGGGGACAGGGGCACCTACCCACACCAGATATTGAAAGATACAAAACATCCATAAATGAAAGAATGGCACTATCAATGGTAACTGCCAGGGCTAAAGGTAAGGAAGAATGGGTAGTTACTGTTTAATGGGTACAGAGTTTCAGGTTTAAGAGATAAAGAATTATGGAGATGCTGGTGGCGGTAACACACTTTTTTTTTTTTTTTTGAGACAGAGTCTCACTCTGTCACCCAGGCTAGAGTGCAGTGGTGTGATCTCGGCTCACTGAAACCTCCGCCTCCCAGGTTCAAGCAATTCTCCTGCCTCAGCCTCCTGAGTAGCTGGGATTACAGGTGTGTGCCACCACACCCAGATAATTTTTGCATTTTTAGTAGAGACAGGTTTCACCATGTTGGCCAGGCTGGTCTTGAACTCCTGACCTCCCGCCTCGGCCTCCCAAAGAGCTGGGATTACAGGTGTGAGCCATCACACCCAGCATTGTACACATTATGAATGTATTTAATACCACTGAACTGCACACTAAAAGTAGTGTATGGTAGTTAAGATGGTAAATTTCACATTATGCGTATTTTACCATGAGTGGAAAAAAAACCAAACTGTTTCCTCTCTGCTCCCACACCACAACAATCAACACAGAACACTTCTGTGACCAACTGTGGAGATTTTTCCCACACACCAAGAAAACAATCAATTCTGTAGCAGACACCAGCTGGGTGTCCTCCAATTCTGTTCGACATTATTCACCTGGAGTCAGTGTCAGATCCCACAGATTGAGGGTTCAGTCCCACAAGACTGCTCTGACTTCAGACAAACGTCACAAGTTCAGGCTGCCAGAACTTCAGACTGACCTGCTTCAAGCTGGGGTTCCCACGATCCCCTCTCTGGGTTTGATTAATTTGCTAGATCAGTTCACAGAACTCAGGGAAGCTTAATGGTACTTACTAGTTTATTATAAAGGATATTACAAAGGATACAGATGAAGAGATCCAAAGAACCAAGTATTAGGGAAGGCACTTGGAGCTTCTATGCCTTCCCTAGGTACATCAACCTTCAGGAACTTCTATCTGTTCTGGTGTTCAGAAACTCCCCGAATGCTACCCTTTGGGTTTTTATGGAATCTCCGTTATTTAGGCATGACTGACTAAACCACTGGCCATAAGTGATCAGCTTAATTCTCGATCTGTCTCCGCTCCCTAGAGGTTGGGAAAGAGGTGGGCAGAAAGTCCCAATCCTCTAATCCTGCCTTGGTTGTTCCAGTGACTGACTCCTATCCTGAAGCTACCTAGGAGCTGCCAGCTGTAAGTCAATCATTAGCATACAAAAAGACATCACTTTGGAGATTCTAAGGTTTTTAGGAGTTACTATGTCAGGAAACAGGGTTGAAGATCAAATATATATTTTACAGTATCACATATCACAATTAAATTTCTATTTTCTTTTTTAGAGACGAGGTCTTGCTATGTTGTCCAGGCTGGTCTTGAGCTCCTGGCCTCAAGCCATTCTCCTGCCCTGACCTCCTAAAGCACTGGGATTATAGGCATAAGCTACTGCACCCAGGCAAAAATTTTTTTAATAAAAAAGAATGGCTGGGGCAGGAGGAGAGCTTGAGCTCAGGAGTTCAAGACCAGCCTGGGCAATATAGTGAGACCCTGTCTCTACCAAAAATTAAAAAAAAATTAGCTGGGTGTGGTGGTGCATGCCTGTAGTCCCAGCTACTCAGGAGGCTGAGGTCGGAGGATCCCTTGTACCTGGGAGGCTGAGGCTGCAGTGAGTTGTGATGACACCACTGCACTCCAGCCTGGCTGGGCAACAGAGCAAGATTCTGTCTCAAAATAATTTTATTTTTTAAAAAAAGAATACTATTGTCAAATGAAGAGACAAGACAGATCAATGGAATAGTACAGAAAATCCATAAATAGTTTCAACTGTGTACAGAAATATCATATATAATAAAGGCAGTATCTGAAATCATTGTGAGCATGATGAACTTTAAAAGAAGCAGTATTAAAATAATGCAACATGGCCAGGTGTAGTGGCCGACGCCTGTAATCCCAGCACTTTGAGAGGCCAAGGTGGCCAGATCACTTGAGCCCAGGAGTTCAAGATCTGTCTGGGCAACATAGCGAGACCCTGGATCTACAAAAAAACACAAAAATTAGCTGGGTATGGTGGCACACACTTGTTGTCCCAGCTACTCCAGAGACAGAGGTGGGAGGATCACCTGAGCCAGGAGATCGAGGCTGCTGTGAGCTGTGATCTTGCCTCTGCACTCCAGCCTGGGTGACACAGTAAGACTCACTCTCTCTCTCTCTCTCTCTCTCACACACACACACACACATACACACACACAAATAATAATAATAATGTGATAGTCATATGGAAAATGATAAAACAAACTTATATGAACACCAGGATAAACTCCAACTGGAACAGAGACTTAATGTAAAAAAGGAAAATGTACAAGTACTAAAGGAAAACAGGTAAATTTACTGTATACCCTGAGGGTAAAGAAAACTTTTCTAACTGTAACTCAAACTGTAAAAATATTAAGAAAATGTGGCTGGGCTCGGTGGCTCACACCTGTAATCCCACCACTTTGGTAGGCTGAGGCAGGCAGACCACCTGAGGTCAATAATTTGAGACCAGCCTGGCCAACAAGGTGAAACCCCATCTCTACTAAGAATATAAAAATTAGCCAGGCGTGGTGGCATGCACCTGTAGTCCCAGCTACTCAGGAGACTGAGGCAGGAGAATCACTTGAACCTGGGAGGTGGATGTTGCATGAGCTGAGATTGTGCCATGGCACTCCAGGTTGGGCAACAGAGCAAGACTGTCTCAAAAAATATATAAATAAATTAAAAAGTATTAAGAAAATGAGTGATCAATTTTACTACATACAAATTTTTAAAAGCTTTTACAAGGCAAAACCAACATTAAAGCAAAAATTTTTTAAAATCTAAGCAAAGGGAAAATCCAGATGACAAATTCAGAAAAACATATTTGCAACTCATATCACACATTTAATATACCCACTATGGTTTGGATGTGGTTTGTCCCCGCCAAAACTGATATTGAAGTTTAAACGCCAGGGCAGCAGGTTTGGAAGGTAGGCCTAGTAGAGGGTGTTTGGGTCATGGGGGCAGATCCCTCATTAATAGATTAATGCCATCTCTCAGGAGTGGGTTCTTGCTCATGCAGGAATGAACTAGTTCTCAAAAGAGTGGGTTGCTATACAGCGAGGCTACCCCTCAGGCTTTGTCTCTCTGCACATGTCTGTCCCCTTCTCCTTTGACCTTTTCTGCCATGTTTTGATGTCGTGCATGGCCCTCAACAAAAGTCAAGCGGACACCAGTGTCACGTTTCTTGAACAACCCAGTGCGGTGGCTGGTATATATAAGTCATTATATTCAACTACTTTTGTATGTGTTTGAAATTTTCAACAATACAATTACTTTAAAAACCATTTACTTCTGAGCAAAACCATTATCATTATTTGCCAACAATTCAGGCCTCTCACGAAAAAACACAAGCAGCACTTTGGGTAAACTGTCGCCCCTAATATATACATATAAATTTCATCTATCACTTGTTAACTATTTTACTGAATTTTTCCAGTACATTTTATTGGAAAGGTAAATTTGGCATCCTAGCAAGCACCAAGGAAGACCTGCACATACTTAACTTTTTTATTGTAAAATGTTACATATTCAGAAAAATTCAAAGAATACTTAATGAAGTCAAACAAAACATCAAGACACAAGTTTCCCAATGTATTTTTTCTGTACATAGTCCCTTCTTCTCTAGGAGAAAATACTATCTTATATGAGAATCTCTTCCCTGAATTTATTTACATTTGTACTTATTGCATGTTTCCCAAACTATATAGTTTACTCTTTTCTCTACCTATACACATGGATGCATTTAATCCAGTCTTTTAAGTCTGTCTTCTTTCAGTGTCCTTTATGCTTATCAGATTTTTTCTTGCTCTTACGTGTCATGGAGATTCATGCACTCTCACTGCTGTGTAGTATTCCACTGGATGAATATATCACAATTCATCCACTATCACTACACTGTTAATGCTAATTTGGATTGTTTCCACTTTGAGATTTTTATAAACAATGCCTTTACAAACATTCTTTTACAAATATCCTAGTTTACATGCATACATATAACTAAGCTATAACTTTCTCTAAGCTACAAACCAGGAATAGAATCGCTGGGTCATACAGGACATGCATTTTCAACTTTACTAGTAATGCCAACTTATTTTCCAAAGTCACTGTAACAAATTACACTTCCACTGGTAACATCTGAGAGTTGCTATTCCATACTGCTCACATTTTTAACCTTGCACCTGTACTAACCATGGTAAATACTCACATGTCCCTCATCAGACGAGCATCCTCAGCTCTGACCAGCAAACTTCGGATCAGATTAGAATGATCAGCCATGTCAGCACTGAGCTTCTGATGCACTGAATGATGTTCGTCCACCTGGAGACCATGGACACTCAGGAATTAAAAAGGCCTCACAAACTTCTTGAAACTAGACAGATGAAAAGACACTACTTACCAGATACAGAGACTCCCTTCTTTCCCCCGTTCACTTATGCCAATTAAGCTACTTCCTGTTATTTCAACTCTTTCTCAACAAGTTAATTCATCTGGGCTGCCTCCAATTTCAACAGGACACACCATGTGAATCCTCCACATGCTTTAGCACCAGGAGCCCCCACAACACACATAGTAATATTTTAGGGATTTGCAGTGGGAAGATTGTATACTTTGGGGCCAATCACAATCCTCTTTATTTTGCTCTTTTATTTTGAATTTGGGTTTCTGGAAAGACCTAAACTGAAGACCAAAGCAGATACTACAAATAAGATGAACAGCCAATAAAGGAAAATATTCATTTATAAATGTAACACCTTAAACCAAACAAAGCAAGCATGGTTCTCGAGAGCTAAACACTTCCTTTTATAGAAGAAATCCTCTAAGTAATAAACTTTCCAATACTCGTTCAATTTTTATTTCAAGAATTGCAAACATTCTTGAAAATATCACTATAACATAAGTTCATCAGCAGTACCATTAATCTCCTCAAACATTATTAGACTACCACATTCTCACAAATGCATCTACCGAGTGCCCTCACCTTCACTAGCACCTTTCTTAATTCCTCAAAGTAGACAGGAAAATCCGCTTCTACTTGAAGGTCTTCAATAGCAAAAAATGATGCCATTGACTGGATGACATCGCCAGCCAAATCAATATCATCAGTATTTATAGTGATCTACCCAGAGAAAAAATAGACAAGTTTAGCATCCTCAGATATTAGACAAACTTAGCTGAAATAGTACCTGAATTTCCCTACACTCAACAAAATTACTGAGCATATATTTATATGCAGTGTAGAATAAGGTAAGTTTAGCTCTCAAAAAAAATAAAAACTGCATTCTTTCCAGCAGCTAGCTAAAAGGCAAATCCTCTAGGCTCAGAAATTAAATGACAAACAATGAAAATGTTTTTGTTGACCTCTGTATTCCCAATCCTTTCCCAATTAGACAAGGAAGAGAGGAAGGGAAGGAGGCAGAAAACATCTATTCCAGATTCTACTCCAGTGTCTAAGATGGTGACAGTAACAGACCAAGTTAAAACATGTGAATAAAATAAAACAAAACATGTGGTTTTACGACCTTCACACTGATGTCCCCCACCTCACTTTGGACTGAATGGTAAATACCACCTAAGAAATCTCCCCTCCCATTCCATGATCTAAGTGGTAGAATAAGTAAATGAAAATAAACTTAAAAAGAAAAAATACATGCCCCATGATATTAAACATTACCTCTCCACTAAGTTTTATTTTTATATACAGATGGCCACCATTCCGTAAAGATGTGAAACACACTTGAAATGGAGCATTCTGAAAGTGAGTGTCTTCTGGTAACAGAAAGTTCTGACTGAGCCACACAACAACCTTAAAAATGAACACAATGAAATGAGCCTCCATTTTTAAGGTACAGACATTCTTTTTTTTTTTTAATATGCCTTTAGATATGAAGGTACAGTCATTCTTCAAAGAAGAGTTCTAGTTTTACTGTTTGTTGAGGAAAAAAAAAAAAGAATTATACTTCATCTCATACCAAGAAAACACTAAAACACTAGTCACAATCCCTTTTCTCACTTCACTTCTGCTCTTAAGTAACATTCATAATTATGCCTGGCCCTACAGCAGATGTGATTTTATATCATCCTCTACTTAGACATAGTCTTATATGCAATGTACAAGTGATTCAGGTATATTGCTGATTCTGTTACACAACAGCTCTTCCGTGGGTATAACTTGGATAATGTAGTGTGCTTAAAACTATTCCATTCTATTCTTTAAGAAATGTAAAATGAGGTATACAATGTGCACACACCACAGATACATCCATGCAATAAGGAAAATATAAGTTTTAATGTTACTAGCAGTAACACCGTGCAGTGGCTTGCAACACGGGTTCCACATGAGAATCACCCATGAGGCCTTCTGGAAGGGCCCACCTATAGAGGTTGTGGTTCCACAGGCCAGGCAGGGGCCTGAGAATCTACATGATTAAAAAGTCTCACCAAGAATTCCAAAGCTCAGCCAAGATTAAAGTACACTAGTATTAGTACTTTCAAATTTAAGAGGTGCTATTATCATGCCAATCATGTAATCCTCGGGCCCCCCCCAATAAAGTGGGTAAGATTATCCTCACCTACAGGTAAGAAAACTGAGGTTCACACTGGTGAGGGGAATTCCCCAAGATCACTAAGAATTTAATGAGTTAAGGTAGCACTTAAAGCCAAAAACGTTCTTAGCTCCAAGTCTCACTCCTTTTCATCTTGATGCAGGTTCCTCTTGAAATACTCTCTTGAAACCATAACGGGAAGAGAAGAATTAAACACTGGTAATAATTCACCGATAACCAAGGATTGCTCAGATGCTTTTTCAAAGTGAGAGAAGACATTTTAGGAATATTTTTATTACAGGTTGTAAGTCATCCCCAAGTTAGAGAATTCTTTCATATCGTACTTACTGCTACCAATATAACACATTCATGTCACTTCCCCTTTCTATGAAATAAGATCTAAAGGATTCTACCATGCAAAAGCATTGAAAGAGAAAAGTGAGATACTCACCCGCTGTGCCCGTTCTGCAATGGTAAAGTTAACATAACTGATTGGCTCGCTGGCAGAGTCCAGGCTAGTCAGTGCATACATGGAGAATCGAGGGAGCTGTCTTGTCAATTCAAATACATGAAACTGGGTGCTATGGCCAACAGATGAAACACAAGGGAATTGTTTTGTATAAAATGTTGCTTCGAAGTGCAAGGCCCAGAAAATAAAGCCACTACTGGGCTACCAATTGGTATTTATGGATTTCACTTAAGAAGAAACCCCCAAAACACCTGAGGATTAAAGTACTACAGTAATATATTAGATTTAAGATATAGAGATAGCATGAGTCTACATATATACCTGCATGCACTAAGGATTTAAAACACCATAAAGGGGATGTTAAAAGTTTCTTATCTTCTGCAAGTTTTCTTCTTCACTACCTGAGGTTATGTATGAATGTAATATAAAGGTACATCCTAACTCTTATACTTTTAGTGGCCAAAACTACAAGTTGACAAATCATCAATTAAACATTTTGTGATTATGAGATCACCTGACTAAAAACAGAAAATAATCATCTTAGCCAGGTGTGGTGGTGGTGGTGGCTGATGCCTATAATCCCAGCACTATGGGAAGCCAAGGAGGGTGAATGACCTGAGGTCAGGAGTTCAAGACCAGCCTGGCCAACACAGTGAAACCCTGTATCTACTAAAAATAGAAAAATTAGCTGGGCGTGGTGGCTGGCACCTGTGGTCCCAGTACTCAGGAGGCTGAGGCAGGAGAACTGCTTGAACCTGGGAGGTGGAGGTGGCAGTGAACTGAGATTGCTCCACTGCACTCTAGCATGGGCGACAGAGCAAGACTGTGTCTCAGTTAAAAAAAAAAAAAAAAGAACCATCTTAAATTCACATATCAGTTTTTCTTTTTCTTTTTACAGGTTTCAAATTGAGGAAATGAAAGATCATGGGAAACTTTGACTGGGTAGATAGAACCATTAAACAGTTTCTCAGGACCCCCAGAATTCACTGGGCATATGGAAAATGTATTCATCTTGCCCTCCTGTAAGAGCTGTTTTTAAATGAACTGTGACTTGCAAAGGGTCACCTGCTTCTGTAACCCACAAATGCTTTCAAGTGCAGATCCACAGGGACATCTTTGGGAGGCGCAATAGGGATGCGGATGGAACTGGAGAGGTTGTGAATGCTGGGATGTACCACGTGACTTTCACCTGCAAAAATTCCCTCTGCGAAAATCAATACTGCTCGGATGATGGTGTCTGCAGGGAAGAGGAGAAACAGTTAAAGAACAACTCCAAGATGGCACAGGTGCCTCTAAACACCAGATGTAAATACTGTCTTACCATTAGAAGTAGAAATGCACACTTCTGTATGAGCAGTTTGGGTCTCATTCCCCAAATTGACTGACAGCATGGTGTGGAGCCTGGTATTGGCTGGAATTATGCCCCGATGCCCATCAGCCTCATTCAGTGGACTGCCCAATTCAGCCTGCAAAACACCCCACCCATTTCCAGCTCAATCACCAAAACACAGAACTAATATCAATTTTAAATAATATCGCTACTCAGCTTCAAAATACATGGTCTACAGCATCTTATTAATATAGTAATCTGATTCTTTAGAATTCAGAGAATTCACCTTATTTGCACTTCCTTGCTCTGTCTGGCCCTGTGGGAAAATACCCTTGCCTCTTTCTATGGGTATGGTCCACTGCATCTCATCATGGCTTTTACGTTTTTTAAGTATTATTCTTTTAAAGAAAGAAAAGAAATTCCCATAGTACACCAACCTCAAATACAGCAACGCATGACAGGACAAATTAAAGTAACATTTCAGCCAATTTGCCGTACATACACACAGTGTTTTTATAGTTGCCAATTTTTAAATGATTTTTTTGAAAAAGATAAAAGACATTCTATACATATTGTTCTTGCCTTTTGTCACTTAATAAGACCACGGACATCCTTCCATATCAGTCCAAGTATTCATTCTTTGAACTACTTAAGATTCCCCAGCACATACTCCCTACTGCTGACGAACATTTAAGTTGCTTCCAGCTGTTTTCACTGCTATAAATAAACAGTGCTGCAGGAAATATCCTCGAACAATCAGGAAAACATTTCTGCAATTTAACCACCTGGCAGTGAAATTTCAAGATCAAAGGAAATATGCCCCCTCAATTCTGACACTGACAAAAAGGCCACACCCTGGCAATGACACTCCCATTCTTCCACATTTGCCAATCCTCCTGGTCAGTCTCAACATTTCCGCCACCATTACCCTGTCACGTTAGGACCTACCTTGCTGTTTTCCTCATAGTTACGGAGTTCCAGCAACAGATTCTGCTTCTTCTGACTCAGCTCTCGGATTAGGTCCTGCTCTACACTGGTGTCCATGAGGTTCCCCCTCGTCTCAGCCATGCCAGGCAGGTAGCCCCGGACTGAACAGAAGGAAAAAACCCCAGGTATAACCAGGTATACATTTAGGTCATCAATTAACTGCTCTTAAAAACAAAAACCTAAGTTCTCCCCAACTTTGGTGAATTTATTAGAACTAGAGGATCTCAAAACAAATGTCCTGGTATTTTGACCCAATCAAATGGAAAGTGTGACTTTTCAAGGATTTTCCTCATCTCAATTTACTTTCCCCATCCACTGAGCAGCAGATTAACTGTATGTGGCCATCCATCCTGTAATCTCCTTCTACCACACCAGCAATTGCAGAAGAAAAATTATCCTTAAAGATGACCTCCCCAGTTCGGTCACTTCGAGCATCAACCTAAAAATAAAACAAGAATTTAAAAAGTTGCTTACGCTATATGTTTAAAAACCACAAAATTTAAAAATAAAAATCAGCTTTAAAGGTCATTCAGTCTAGCAGTTTTCAAGAGTGTTCTATAAAATCCTACGACTTCTCAGGAGATACCTATAACTGCTGGGGCCAAGACGGACCCAAAGGAGCCTCAACCAGCTATGCTTTCTTCCTTTTAAATAAAAGCTGTTTTTCATACGGGCCTTCACACAATGCTTCATTTGAAGAAACAGGTCTGCTAAGAGCCAGTACATACAGTACACACAGCACAGTGCAAAGGGCATGGGCTTAATAGCCAAACTGCTCAGGTTCAGACTCTAGCTCTGACACATACTATCCACGGCATCTTAGTGTCTTAATCATTCTGTGCTTGGTCTTTTCATCTGAGGAACAATAACCAGAACATGGAGAAAATAACAGTACTACACTTCACAGAGTTATAATGAAGTTAACATATATAAACAGAGCCTGACACACAGAAGTACATAATAAACGTTAGCTCTGTATAAAAGCTGTATCTTTATTATATATAAATGTATAAAGCATGTTTAATCTGAAGTTCGAAAACTGTGGAGTTAGCCCAGTCTTCCACCACACGACCTTTTACAACCACCCTGTTAAGAGTCCCTTTTCCACATAAAAACTATTCAGATATCTTAGAGAGCTTTCCTATCCTCTAAGTCTCCCATTCCCAAGAGATAGAACAAATAAATAAATGCCTGATCAGAAACAAATGCATCTCAAAAGCAATAATAAATGACCATCACTTAAAATATGATTATGAGGTCGGGCGTGGTGGCTCACGCCTGTAATCTCAGCACCTTAGGAGGCAAAGGTGGGCAGATCATGAGGTCAGAAGATTGAGACCATCCTGGCTAATACAGTGAAACGCCATCTCTACTAAAAATACAAAAAATGAGCCAGGCATGGTGGCATGTGCCTGTAGTCCCAGCTACTCAGGAGGCTGAGGCAGGAAAGTTGCTTGAACCTGGGAGGCAGAGGTTGCAGTGAGCCGGCTCTGCACTCCAGATCACACCACTGCACTCCAGCCTGGGTGACAGAATGAGATTCTGTCTCAAAAAAAAAAAAAAAAAATGATGATTATGTTCCAGGCAAGGACACAGGTATTATCAACAACAGGCTAGGTACAGAAAATCTGGCAGAGCAATCATTTCAATGACCAATGCTACTCACTATTTTTGTCTTTTCATAAACAATCTTCTGGGAAAAACTTTGCAACCAAAACATAAAGTAGTTTAGGTCGCAGCCTACCCCTTGTCTACAGTATATCCCTGTCAAGTATCCAGGCTATTAATAACATCATGGAAGCCTGACAATTATGAATGCTAAAGCCTATGAAAGAACGAATGACCTGTATTTTTACCAAAGCACATTACTGTAACTCTGTAACTCAGACTGACTTGAACTTGCATCATTTTAGTTAAAGCCTAGCTACCTAATGGCTTCTAGCACTGCATTTCCACAATATTTAGCAAATAGAAGGTTCATTTGCTAACTAAGAAGTAGGACTACAAATTAATCTTTCTGTGGATATTCTGATCTTTTGCTTAATCCAACATGGAGGTTTTACCCCGAAAGGAAAGGATGGCCATCCAACTCATCAAATGACATACAAAAGATGAAGTTAATTGGCTAGCAGCATGTATTTAGTACTTTCACACCCGAATTCACCAGTTGGATTTGTATGCTTCCCTTTTGTATATTTCTGTTAAAGGTAGACAATCAGTTTTTCCACTTATATAATTTTCTTATCTTTTTCATGCTCAAGAACAGATTACATAATAGAAATTCCTTAAAATTTCAAAAACAATTAACTAAAAAAAATCTAGGTCAAGAGTTATATTTCAAGGTAACCTGACAAGTTTTCGAATCTAGTAGTTTTCTTTAAATCAGTCATACTAATTTATATTCCCTCAAAATATGGTCCACTGCTATGGTCTGAATGTGCCCTAACAAAGTTCGTATGTTGAATCCTAACAGCCAAGGTAATGGTATTGGGAACTGAGAGGTGAATAGGTAATAAGGGCAGAACTCCCATGAACAGGATTAGTGTCCTGTAAAAGAAGGCCCAGAGACATCTCTTGCCCCTTCCATCATGTAAGGCTTCTGTCTATGAGGAAGTGATCCCTCACCAGACACCGAATCTGCCAACACCTTGATAGGGGACTTCCCAGCCTCCAGAACTATAAGAAATAGATTTCTGTTGTTTATAAGCCACCCATGCTATGGTATTCTGTTACGGCAGCCCAAAGCAACTAAGACATCCATTTCATAGACTTTCATATTTCTTAATAAGCAACTATACAGTCTTCTAATTTTTAGTACCCATAGTAATGACAAAACTAAGTGGAAAAGCAGAAACTGACATAACAGCTCTTTAGAATCTGTCCGTCACATAACACCAAAGGAATGCTTATAAAGTGCTAGAGAAAAGTAAAGATATATCAAAGAAGAAAAGATAAGAATTTGCGCATCCCCTTCAAGCAATCCAACACTGACAGACAAGAAAGCGAGGGCAAATGGTATCCATGGAGATCTGGCAGCTACCTAGGCAGCTTCTAAGAAGACAATCCTGACTTGCCAAAAGACTGTAAAAAATTCTGATTTGAAGTTAAAAAAGGAAAGCTAGCAAAAGGATTTTATTTTAAAGTTATAGCTCAGAAAACAATATGCTAACATGATTCTTCCCATTAGTGCTAAGTTTTCAGGCAGTTCTGAAGATTTACTAGAAAAGAGCTATTCAAACAATTCCTTAAAACTCCTTTTTTACTGTCCTACTCCCTAGAATCATCCTGGCTGATGGATTCTCAGTCCTTCAAAAAAGAGATTTAGAAAGAATCTCCTTGAAGATTTCCCCTAAACAGGGCTTGTAAGACTTACACTCTCTCACTTTGCAGTTCTTGATAATGACAGCAGGAATAATGTGTCAAGAGTATTGAGTTAAATGTGAAAACACAGCCAAGGAACTGAAGTTTATATCCTAACATTATGGTTCTAAGTCCTATAGTCAATACACCTTGGACAATTATTACTTTGAATTATACCTGAACTTTGCTATTCAAACTTACCTTCCCATTGGACCAACCAGTTATCAGTTCATTCACTCCATCAGAATTAAGGTCAAAAGCATGAATGCTCATGGCATGATTTTTCGACTGAAAAAGAATTCCAATAATGAGCACAGAAGTCTCACAATAAGTATCAAGTCCCTGAATATCAAAGGCAGAATTATACTAACTTTAATTCTCCAGTATCGGGCTGTTTTTTCATAAACTCCAACTGTGCCATTGGAAAGGGCATAACCAAATCGACTGCCATACATGGGACAAAGAGAGGTGACTACCTGGAAAACAATACATAAAAACACAACATCTTTTCATTAAGGCTCAGTTTACTGTGAAGTACAGCTTTATAAGATTTCACATGCCTTGTTACAACTATGTTAAAATTAGATTTAAAGGCACTTCCAATCCATTAGTGGGGAATGTATTCCTCTTCTCTATGATACATGTCATCTATTTCAGAGTTGTATAATCAGATTTAAATAAACTCACAGAATTTGGTGTTTTAGAGCAACCTTATGTGGCAAGTTTCAGGAAATTATTTTTAAAAAACACATGAAAACTAACGGACTAAGGAAGAAATAAGCTAAGTACACAAGATCAAGAATATGCACATACAATAGATATTATATATGTTCACCCAAAAGGTTTTAATGATTATTACTTAACTTATAATGTCCTACAGTCTAAATTTTTAAGACTTACAACAATCCACAATTGAATATCTTACTTCATATGTATATTTTTCTATGACATAATTTATTGTTTGCTAGCTAGAAGTAAAAGAAAGAACACACAATCCTTTGAAAAGTAAAAACCCAAGCACATGGATCTGTGTAGTATGTAACAATATACGGAATGCATATATGATACAGAAAATAGCTATAGGACTGTTCAAGGATGTGACATCCTTAAAAGGATAAAATTTTAGGTACTGAACAAAACTTTCCTTTAAAGTTAAAACCAAAGCTTAATGATATCCATGATTCTGCAGATTACTTTCTAATTCTGCTCCTAATACAAGAGATATTAAGAAATAAATTGTATAAAGCAGAGAATAGTTATATAATTTCCTTTACACCCACAGCTTTTCTACAAAACCACCCACTTCACTTAACTATGAATACAAAGTGCTGTGTAGGATTCCAGAATTATTTAACTCAAGGTATTCTTCTGATAATACTTCGTATTGTTCAACTGCCAAACGAATCATGATTTTGCTGATCTGGGAAAAGATATTTTAACTAGGAGTAAAAACCTAACAAAGAGAACAGGAAAATGACCCTGCCAATGAACAACGTTATAAAGTCCATATCTTCATAAATTTAGCACCAGATTCCTGAGCTCCTTTAGTGCTTCCTTAGTTCACCAGTTCCTTCCTTTCATGGACTAGAAGATCAACAAGTCCCCTCAAATCCCTAACTCTATTCCAGGTTCTTATCCTCTTTTCTAGGATTTAGGAAAGAGGTGTTTCAAAGATTTCAGTCTCCTCACATCTAGTATTAACAAGCAACAGAAATCTAACAAAATCTGAATGATTCCCACCAAAGGAGAAAATATTTACCACAAATTAGAATGAAAGGGATATGAGAATGCAGGACACAGCACCTATCAGCCACGGATTCTCAAGCTGTTTTTTTTAGTGGTGGGGGAGGTTGCAAACCCCTTTAAGAATCTAATGAAGGCTCCAGGCCCTCCTCCAGAAAGCACAGGTAAGCACAGGCACACAAAACAGACTCCAGGGCCAAGTGCAGTGACTCATGCCTATAATCCCAACACTTTGGGAGGTCAAGGCAAGTGGATTGCCTGAGGTCAGGACTTCGAGACCAGCCCAGCCAACATGGCAAAACCCCATGTCTACTAAAAACACAAAAATTAGCTGGGTGTGGTGGTAGTTGCCAGTAATCCCAGCTACTTGGGAGGCTGAGGTGGGAGAATCGCTTGAACCTGGCGGGGTGGAGGTTGCAGTGAGCCAAGATTGCGCTACTGCACTCCAGCCTGGGCGACAAGAGCAAAACTCCATCTCAAAAAAAGAAAAAACAGACTCCCTGTATAGACACATATCCTCAGACTGCTCCTTTTGGCACTCATTTGTCCTCTTCATTTTTAATTTGTTCACAACTATCATCTTACATCATACTACCTATGAACATATAAAAGGTATAGCAGGACTTAGTAAAAACTGGTAAGTCTTGCTATAGGATAAATTTGTTAAAGTCATAGGTAACACTGTACATCGATATGTAGGTTTTGCTTTTTGTGTATGTGCTGCCGAAGCGAGCACAGGTTTTGCTTTTTGGTTTCCTTTTTAGTTACAGGAAAAGAAGTGACCTTCTTAGACAGCTTTTATGAGTGGCATGAAGCAAGCAATTTAAGGACAAGTGGCCAAGGTTAGTTTTGAGACCAGTGTCCTCAAGCTTTTCTCATATCGATTCCTAAATACCACATAACTAAATTTTGCAGAATCCCACCATTCTGATCTCTTAAGACTCCCTTTCACTGGTTTCTTTCTGTCCATTTACAATGTTCACAAGCCACTGCTCCTTTATCCTCTTCTTATTCCTTAAAAATACCTTAAATTTTTTTTTTTCTGTTTCAGTCTTGCCCAATCCTGAAAACTAGCAGCAAATAAATATCCTAAGTATGTCAAAACCATAAAGGATACAGGTAATCTTTAGATATATCTTTTTATTTTCTTTTTGTCTTTATTTTCCTAACTCTTAATACTGTTATTTATTTATTTATTTTTCATTTTAATTTTGAGACAGAGTCTTGTTCTGTTGCCCTGGGTAGAATGCAGTGGTGTGATCATAGCTCACTGTATTCTCAAGCTCCTGGGCTCAAGGGATCCTCCTGCCTCAGTCTCTCAAGCAGCTAGGACTACAGACATGTGCCATCATACCTAGCTAATTTTTTCTATTTTTTGTAGAGATGGGGTCTTGTTGCCCAGGTGGGTCTCAAACACCTGGCCTCAAGTGATCCTCCCACCGTGGCCTCCCAAAGCACTGGGATTATAGGCATGAGCCACTACATGAGGCCTAAACATTACTTTTTATTTTTTTTTTGAGACGGAGTTTCGCTCTTGTTACCCCAGGCTGGAGTGCAATGGCGCGATCTCGGCTCACCGCAACCTCCGCCTCCTGGGTTCAGGCAATTCTCCTGCCTCAGCCTCCTGAGTAGCTGGGATTACAGGCACACGCCACCATGCCCAGCTAATTTTTTGTATTTTTAGTAGAGACGGGGTTTCGCCGTGTTGACCGGGATGGTCTCGATCTCTTGACCTCGTGATCCACCCGCCTCGGCCTCCCAAAGTGCTGGGATTACAGGCTGAGCCACCGTGCCCGGCCAACATTACTTTTTAAAAATAAAGTTTAAACTTTTAAAAGAAATATCTCAGGTTCCATTACATGAGTAATTCTAATCACAAGTTTCTAACACCTAATTTTTTTTTTTCTTTTTAGAGCCAGAGTAACTAACACCTAATTTTCTTTTCTTTTTTTTTTTTTAATTTATTTTATTGCATTTTAGATTTTGGGGTACATGTGAAGAACATGCAAGATTGTTGCATAGGTACACACATGGCAGGGTGATTTGCAGCCTTCCTCCCCATCGCCTATATCTGGCATTTCTCCCCATGCTATCTCTCCCCAACTCCCCACTCCCTGATGTTCCTCCCCTATTTCCCCCCAACAGACCCCAGTGTGTAGTGCTCCCCTCCCTGTGTCCATGTGTTCTCATTGTTCAACACCTGCCTATGAGTGAGAATATGCAGCTAACACCTAATTTTCAAGCTTACCTACAGAAATGTGCCTAACAAGTACTGAATTTGCATGAAGAAAAAAAATAAAAATCTCATTTATGCATTTCAGCCCTATTCGATATATATGATGAGGAGGAGGAGGAAGAGACATAAAGGTTCAAATGCTGACCATGACACTTCATAGCCAAGATATTGCACGAGTAACTTAACAAAAATGTAACATCAGGCCAGGCACAGTGGCTAACCCCTGTAATCCCAGCACTTTGGGAGGCCAAGGTGGGCGGATCACTTGAGGTCAGGAGTTGAAGACGAGCCTGGGCAACATGGCAAAACCCCATCTCTACTAAAAATACAAAAATTATCTGGGCATGGTTGTGACATGCGCCTGTAGTCCCAGCTACTCAGAAGGCTGAGGCATGAGAATCACTTGAACCTAGGAGGTGGAAGTTGCAGTGAGCAGAGATTACACCACTGCATGCCAGCCTGGGTGACAGAGTAAAATTCTGTCTCAAAATAAACAAACAACCAGAACGTCATGGAAATATGGAAATAATAATTTATCTTCCTATTACGGTTGTTTTAAGGATTCAATAAGTTACTTCATATAAAGTACTTAGAGCACTACCTGGCATATGATAGGTACATAATAAATAGTTGACATTATTATTATTATTTGCAGGTATTAACTAAGAAATGCCTTTATGTATTCAACTATACTCAATAATTTTTCTTTATTTAATCAGCCTTTTCAAAATATATCTTAATTTGGATTTTTACTGCTTTTCTTTCCATAACATACAGCTCTGTCTGACCCCCACAGTTTTTATCCCAAAACCATCTGGGTTGGAAGATGCCCCAGCACTCTCACTTGATGTTTCATCTAACAGTGCTGATCTATCTTGCCCAAGGTTACTGTAGTTCGAGGTGGCACTTCTTACCTCTGTTTCTGTCATTTCTGCCACAATCTCATCTTCCTTAAAAACTCGGATGTCAAAATCCTCAGATCCAACAAGAAGCTGAAAGGGAAATATCATACATGTTTAAGTAAGTGAAAACAACAAAATTTTCATAAACAAAACAAAAAGTTGCACAATACTTTCTATGCTGCTACTGCCACACAAGACTGACTACCTCCTAATAGTCTGATGCTCAAGAATGCTCCCTCTATTGGGAGGATCAGCACATTCAGTCAGTGAAGAAATAGGGGCTACTACAGCTTTTAGCCTGCCATTGGAATTGCACATCTTGCCAGAGTAAGTCATTTCTCCGAGTACCTGAAAATGCTCCCTGGATCAGCAACTTTCTCTGCCTACAGATGGAAGCCCTGTTCAAACACCAGAGCCCAGGGTCCATGGATAAGAGAGGGGCAAGTCAGTGCCCAACACAGCACTTCACACCTACTGCTCAGGAAGCTAATTTCTAGGGTAACCATAAGAATAATTTCAAAGGCTAAAAGCCCATTTCTAAAACATTTAGATTCCTCAAAAAAGTTGGCCAAAATTGAAAACTACATACTAACATGGTTTCAAAGCATGAGGAGCAATTCATGAGACTGCGATCCTCTACCCTCTCTGCACCCTCCTGAGTCTCTGAAACACCATGGCTTTGATCTTTGTATTTATTAGACAAGCACAAGTGATTTACTGTTCAAAAGAGAAGAGAAAGACAAATGAGGTCAATTAGCTCAGAATTTAGGCATTCTCCTGGCAAAATCAGCCAGGAGAATCCTTTTTGTCACTGTCATGACAAAATTTATTCAGCTAAACACAGAAGAGAGGTATCTCCTCCCCTACGTACCTCTTTCTTTCCATCACCGTCAAAGTCACACAAGGCCAAGGAATGAACATTGTCTCCAGTAACCTGAAAATGAAACCCCAAACCATTAGCTTGCCATCTTTTTTTCATTTACTCCAAATATATTAGCTACGTGAAGGAGATGATTACACAAAACACAAATGAATGTTATTCAAATTATTCATATCCTTTTTTAATATACAGAATTATAAATATTGTTCTATATTTTAATTATTCAGTAGAGTTGGTGGTTAAAAAAGAACAAAAGTAAAAATGCTTAAGAGTACCAAAAAGAATGTTTACTTCTTCATACCGTCCAAAAGAGATCACTTCCTTCATGATTGAAACCCTGCAGAGCACAGTTGCCACCAATAATTGCAAGAGGGGAAGAAATGTCTCCCAAGGTCCCCAGCACAATTGCATTTGCCCCATCTGCTACCTAAGAAAAGTAAAAGGACACATTATCTTAGACATACTCATCTGCAGGCACACTGAAGGTAATGTATATCCATATTTTTGTTTGGATACCCAAATTCCTCTGTCATTTGTGAGAAGCCAGATGGTCTCCTATGAGGGCAGCCAGGGCTATCCACTGAGACCTAACGCTGTGGCTTCTGCAAGGATGAGCACAGATGCAGGGTAAATCAGAGCCTTGGCTCTCACATTAAGCTGCTGTGATACTCTGGGGCTCTCTGGGACCACAGGTTCCAGAGGGCAAATTCTCCAGAGAATCAAGACTTATGCATTTAAGCACCCAAACTCAGAATTTGTTTTGACAGTTGTGGATAGAGATCTTTTAAATACTTATAATCCAGTTCTTTTTTTTTTTTTTTTTTTTTTTTTTGAGATGGAGTTTCGCTCTTGTTACCCAGGCTGGAGTGCAATGGCACAATCTCAGCTCACCGCAACCTCCGCCTCCTGGGTTCAGGCAATTCTCCTGCCTCAGCCTCCTGAGTAGCTGGGATTACAGGCACGTGCCACCATGCCCAGCTAATTTTTTGTATTTTTAGTAGAGACGGGGTTTCACCATGTTGACCAGGTTGGTCTCGAGCTCTTGACCTCGTGATCCACCCGCCTCGGCCTCCCAAAGTGCTGGGATTACAGGCATGAGCCACCGCGCCCAGCATATAATCCAGTTCTTTACTATTCTTTTAAATTTTACTATTCTTTGCACTAAAAAGTACAAAGAATAATAAAACACCCATGGTCCCACCATCCAAAATAAGCATCTTAGACTTCTTGAATAAATTACATAAGTTAATTTATTTCTGAAAGACTCAAGGAGATCTTTATAAACACCATTTATTGTATAGGAAAATAATCATTACTTACATAATCTTTAAGTAGAAAAACTATAAAGATTGGCTATACAGGAAAGAAAAGACTTCATAAGAAATTAAAACTGTTAAATGGCCAAAGAAATAATAAGCTAAAAGGTAAACAATGAAGTGAGAAAAAAAGTCCTACAATATATAAGACAAAAAGTTAATAAGAAGAAAAAAATTAGTAAAAGGCAAATAAATACAAAAACGGTAAACACCCCAACCAAAAAAATAAACAAATGGGAAATATTAGAGATGAAATACAGTCAACAAACATGAAAAATGTTCATTCTCACAATATATCATTTTTCATTTTTTGGATTAGCAGTGAAAAAAAACAATAATATCCACTATGCTAGGGTGTAATAAAACAGGAACTATCATTATTGAGAGGGGTGTGACATAACGGGTATGTAGTAACTTCATACAAAGATGTTCACAACATATTATTGAATGAAAGAGCCACACATAATAGTCAGGGAGTGGAATGTCCATTACCTGATAAACGGATAAGTAAAATGCATATGGTATATACACGCAATGGAATATTATTCAGCCATAAAAATGAATTACTGACACGTTACAACATGGATCAACTTTGAAAATATTATGCTAAGAAAAAGAAGGCAGTCACAAATGATCACATATTATATAATTCCATTATTTAAGAAATGTCTAGAATATGCAAACTTCTAGAGACAGAAAGTAGATAACTGATTGCCTAAGGTTAGGAGGTTAAAGAAAAATGGGGCATGACACCAATAGGTATGGGTTTTATTTTGGGGGTAAAAATGTTGAAAATTGATTGTGGTGAGGGTTGTACAGCTCTCTGGATACACTAAAAACCACTGAACTAGGGCTGGGCGCAGTGGCTCACGCCTGTAATCCCAGCACTTTGGGAGGCCGAGGCGGGCGGATCACGAGGTCAAGAGATCAAGACCATCATGGTCAACATGGTGAAACCCCGTCTCTACTAAAAATACAAAAAATTAGCTGGGTATGATGACACATGCCTGTAATCCCAGCTACTCAGGAGGCTGAGGCAGGAGAATTGCCTGAACCCAGGAGGCGGAGGTTGCGGTGAGCTGAGATCGTGTCATTGCACTCCAGCCTGGGTAACAAGCCTCCGTCAAAAAAAAAACACTGAACTACATACTTTCAGTAGGTTAGTTGTACATGTGAATCATATCTTAATAAGGCTGCCATAGAGTAAAAAAAAAAAAAAAAAAAAAAAAAGGCTACATGTATATATGATTCCATTTTACTGCAAAATGTATTCATATATACTTGGTAAAAAATTTGGATTCAAAAATTCAAGGGTTAAGTGTTATCTCTAGATGAAAAAAATAGGTATAATTTCTTTTACTTTTACTTCTCTATCTTTTCTGTAATAAATGCGAATTACTGTAACCAATTTCATGCAAATCAAGTATTTTGGAGGCTTTCATGGTTTATACCAGTGATGCAGAACTAAGTAATTAACCCCAAAATAATAAATACAACAGTTTCAACTATTCATATTTATGAGAGAAAAGATAGGGAAGTTTGTAAAACTTCGTATCTGGGCATTAAAGTTGGGTATTAAAGTTGCAGCAGCCTGTAGGTGGCAGGCTACAGTAAGGGCTTCTCCTATAAACTATTGCACTAAAGTTTAATGCAAGTCCACCAGGAGACCTGTCTACTGGCTTCCCAGCTCTTGGCTGAATTCTCAACAGGAGATCTTGACAGACGGTAGTATCACAGATATACCTCATAAACTCAAGTGTCACCAAGCGATTAGCACGCATAACCAAATAAATAAGTTCCGAGTACATAAAGCAGATGTTAACAGCAAAATCTCCATGTTGTTTATCTACACTGTAACAGTCACATAATAAACGGATCAGAATAAATGATCTCATTTCTTCCAAGCATAAGAAATAGACATTAATGAGGAATGACAATTTTATGGTTATGAAGGTTATTACTTGCCTCTCTGTAGAACAAATCCGAATTATTGTAGACATCATAAGCCAAAAGATTAGTCTGTGTCCCCACTAAAAGAGTATCACAGCCAAGCTCAGGGTTCAATATGCCTGCAGTCAGGCAGCTGACTGCCTGGTTAATGTTGAGAAGAGAAACATCGGATTCCAGGGGGCTCTGGAAGACCCTGGATGCACTGAAATGCTGGTTCCGTGTATGAGGATTATGAATAAAAACCTAAAACAAAAACCAGTTAATTATATTCCCTTAAAATATAAAAAATTAGTATCATACTTTAAAAAATGTTATTAACACATCAACATTAACAAGAAGTCACTTTAATCTCCTATAAAACTTAAAACACTTATACATAGTTCAATGCATGAACAACTTTCAGCCATTACGAGTCATGGAAATCAGGTGGTTCTTAGCCTTGTAAGCAACAAGGTAATGAAAAAGACTAGTCACTAGTCACTGCTAGTGACTAGTCATTGCTTACCAGGCCAGCTTACATGCTAGCCCCTAGCAAGACATCAAAGTATTCTTAGAAACTAGACTTTTCCTGATCAACCTAGAATAAGCTGCTACCACCTTCAATGTGATTGGCACACACCGAGAAGATTATGGAAAACAGAATAAACACTTCCTTTATTATCTTTCATCCAAGCACCTAATGAATTCACTTCCTAGATCTTAAGATGGTCTGCTAATTAGTAAATTTGTTTCACAAACTTAAACTGAGTCATGCAAATCAAGTATCTTGAAGGCTTTCATAGTTTATATCAGTGATGTAGAACTAAGTAATTAGCCCAAAGATAATAAATCCAACAGTTTCAACTATCATAAATATAATCTGTTTGCATAAATTATTCAACTTTCCTGGACTTCATCTGTAAAAAGGAGGTTTGCACTAGAAAATGCATTCTCAAGAGGGGCAAGATCACTCCCAGGACAAGTAACTGAGTTTCCAATAGGGGAATCATGTAGCCCTTCACAGAGCCACACTATAAAAAGAGATATACAGTGTATCTGAGGTATTAGAATTTCACTGGGGAAATTTTCATGATCTAAAAAACCTCCAACATGGGCAATATAAAAAAGGAAGGGGGGATGAGAAACACTGGACTAGGAATTCCTCAAGCCCCTTCTAGTTTTAAAGTTTGTAAAATTTACATGAGCATTTCATCCCTTTTGCATAAATCCAAACAGAATTCATTTTAAATTAATACCTACCCAAGGCAGCCTCTTCAACAAAAAATAATTTTTAAAAGAATTGACTAAAAACATAGATAAGGTGTGCAGCCACATGTTCCCATCTGTGTAGCACTTTATAACATGCTTTGGTAAATGTTAATCACATTTGATCCTGACACCAATCCTTGATTTCCAGGTGAAGTCAGAAGAGTTAAGGCCCTTTGCTTAGGTCTTGAGACCGGTGACAGGGCTAAGACAAGGGCCTGGTATGCTTCAGACCCTGAGCTCCAGCCACCATATCACACTTCGTTTTATGACAGTTCTGAACAAAGCAATCCTTGCAGAGTTTTCCAGAAATCAGATATATTGAGAGAGAACAGGAGGGAAAATATCTTATGGGCTCCATATTCATTCTTACTGGAATGGAAAGACTGCGATTTTTGCCAAGAGCAGCAAGGGTCTCAGGAGTCAGATTTATCCCCAGTTCCCTCCTGCTGTTCTCTGCACCCAGAGAGTCCACAGGGGGACAAGTCTGTCCCTTCAGGCAAGGAAAGAAAACCAATCTCAGTCACACAACAAAAATGACCACTCCCAGGGCTCCCAAAGGACTGGCTGAAGTTCACACATTTGTTCTAGCTGAGGAGGTGCTATAAAGAATATAAATTACACTGACCCCTAAGTATCACCATGAGAGAAAAAAATGTCCCCAGAGGAAAACTCTAACATTCACCCTGCAAGAGATTCCTTTCATTTATTTATTTATTGAGACGGAGTCTCACTCTGTTGCCCAGGCTGGAGGGCAGTGGCACGATCTCAGCTCACGGCAACCACCGCCTCCCAGGTTTAAGTGATTCTCCTGCCTCAGCCTCCCAAGTAGCTGGGATTACAGGTGCCCACCACCACAACTGGCTAATTTTTGTATTTTTAGTAGAGACGGGGTTTCATCATGCTGGCCAGGCTGGTCTTGAACTCCTGATCTCAGGTGATCTGCCGGCCTCAGCCTCCCAAAGGGCTGGGATTACAGACGTAAGCCACTGCGCCCAACCTGTCAGTGACTTCTAACAGTAACAATAACTAACATCATGATGTGCCAGACCCCATATTAATGGCTTAACTCTGTTATATTACTTAATGAAAATGAAGCCTCACTTTTTACTTCCATATCCCGAGGCATATCATACAACATACAACATACGTGGAAGTGTCCTAAAAACTATAAATTGTTACACAAATGCTAGCTTATTAAATCCACTCTGGGTCAGACAACACGCACTCGGGCCACATTTCACACTTTTAGTTGAGTGGCTCCAAGCACTGTGTTGAACCTCTCTGAACTGCAAGTTCTAGTCAATAAAGTGAGAATCATAAAAAGAAAGTAAGAGATAACAATTAGTGACCACTTCCTATATGCAAAGTGCTTAGCTCATGATCCCATGTATTATGTACTATTATTAAGTGCCTTGCCCAAGGTCATGAAATAAATAGATACGGGAGCCAAGAACCACCATACCTATGCCATGCTGCTGCCCTTGGCCTTGCAGCAATGATATTGAGATGATTCATGTGATAAAGTTTTGTGCCTGTTTTAAGTTATTAGCCTTGTGACTACCTTCCATGTATTTTGGGCATGCCTCCATCGAATACACAGGGCTTTCATATGCCTTGTCTGTTAGCTTCTGGATATAAGCTTTCTGAAAGTAGGGACTCCAACTTTACATCTGAGTCTCCAAAATCTATACAGGAGGTGTTCAGTAGAAGTCTGGTGAATGTTAAATGATCATGTCTCTTTTATCTCTTTGACTCTCACGCCTTGCACAGTAACGGCACCTAATACTTAGTGAATAAATTATGGAGAAAGAACTGAAGGTACATGGGCAAGGATAAAAAGTGCAATCTGAATAATTTAGGAGTCTTTGCATTCTTTTGTCATTGTTCGATAAAGGAGCAGTGTGAGGGGCCGGGAGAGGTGGCTCACGCCTGTAATCCCAGCACTTTGGGAGTCTGAGGTAGGTGAATCACTTGAGGTCAAGATTTCGAGACCAGCCTGGCCAAGATGGTGAAATTCTGTCTCTACTAAAAATACAAAAATTAGCCGGGCGTGGTGGGGGACATCTGTAATACCAGATACTCGGGAGGCTGAGGCAGGAGAATTGCATGAAACTGGGAGGTGGAGGCTGCAGTGAGCCGAGATCACGCCACTGCACTCCAGCCTGGGCAACACAGCAAGACTCCGTCTCAAAAAAAAAAAGCAGCAGCAGCAGCAGCAGCAGTTTGAGAGAGTGGAAGGAATTCCGAGTTCCAAATGACAAGCTGAGGCTCTTGGCTTGAATCTGGGGTCCGTTATTACTGCTAACCCGGACCAAGCCCGTTCCCTCCGGAGACGTCTCTTCTCTAAGCTCTCTATGTCCAGGGACCCCGACCTCGCCCGACTCTAAGTGCCTGACAACAAGAAAACGTCAACTGCTCAGAAAAGCTGTTCCTCTAAGACCCCATTGTCCTCAGAAGGATGGAGCTACAGGGTGAAGGTTGCTGGGAACACGGGCTGGGGGCGGGGGCGGGGCCGGAGGCGGAGGCGGAGGCAGGGTCCCAGGGGCGCGGCTGGCGGAGGTCCTGGGGTTCCCTGGGGCCCGGGCTCCCTGACGGTGGGGGCGGTTACCTTGCCCGCTTGAGTGGCGGCCGCCAGACATGGGTGAGTCCCGTCGTAGCGCCCTATGGCCACCATGCGGGGGCTGATTTTGTGGCGCAGTTTCAGGGTGAACACGGGCACCATGATGGCGGCGGCTTAGGGAAGGAGGGCTGGCGCCTCGAGGGCAGCGCAGCGGAGCCGGCCTCACGCGCCCGGGTGAGAGGTGCAGGGACAAGACCCGCCCGGGCCCAACCTCCTGAGGCCGCCCGCGAAACAACCCGAGACGAACTCTTGCAGATACCGCCACCTTCTCCTGCGGCTGCGCAGACCCCCTCCGCTCTCTCTGCGGCTGCGCGTTAGCGCCTCGGCGCCGTCTGCGGCTGCGCGGTGGATCCTCTGCTGGGCTGCTGATGCAGCTGGTCCCCTCTGCGGTAATTTACCCCCGTGGGTTGAACTCCACTGACCCTTCCACAGGGACTGTCTCCGAGCCAGTGCAACCCAGATGTTTCCCCTTCTAGCACCACAACCAAGCTGCACCTCTGCAAACTCTACACAATGCTACCCTGCTCCAGAGCGTCATTAATTAAGTAAATCTTTCTTGAGTGTCGGCTCTGTCCCTTACTTTGGTGGTTGTGTGGAGGAAAACCACACCAATGCTTAGACTCACGTTCAGTCTGGGGCTCCTGATAAAGCTCCCTATGTATTTTTAAGTGCAAACCTGCAAGATTGAAAAGTGACCAACAAAATTTCCTTGAGGGCCTATTGTGTGTCAGACGCTGTTCTAGATAATAAATAGTAGTAAACAAAAGACAAACCTCTGCTTTCCTGGAACTGACCTACTAGTCAGGGCAGCCAAGCATTAAACAAGAAATACATGTCATTCGATGGTACTAGAGAGAAAATTAAGGGAAGGAAGAGGAGAGAGAGGGTGGAGGGAATGCTGTGTTAAGTAGGGTGGTGGGAAAGAGACCTCTCTCTGAGAAAGTGACATTCAGACATGGACTATTAGGAAGTGATAGAGCCAGCTTCGATGGAAGGTGTTCCTCCAGAAAAACTTAAGGTGAGGCCCCGGGGACTCACTCTGCTACCTTCTGGAAACGGACATTCTGGGGTGAGTGATGAGATGAGCAAGGACCACCAGAGGAGACTTGGAGTAGCCAGCAAGGAAGTACAATCAGGAGAGTACAGTGTCCTGGACGCTCAGTGAAAAGAGGGTGGCCAGGAGGTGGAAAACAACTATGTCAGATGCTGCAGGTAGGTCTTGAAAAATGAGTTCTGGGCCAGACGTGGTGGTTCACGCCTGGAATCCCAGCACCTTGGGAGTCTGAAGCAGGTGGATCACTTGAGGTCAGGAGTTCAAGACCAGCCTGGCCAATATGATGAAACCCTGTCTCTACTAAAAATACAAAAATTCGCCGAGTGTAGTGATGGGCACCTGTAGTCCCAGCTACTAAGGAGGCGGAGGCAGGAAAACTGCTTGCCCCCGGGAGGCAGGGGTTGCAGGGAGCCAGATCGTGCCAGTCTACTCCAGCCTGGGCAACAGAGTGAGACTCCATCTCAAAGGAAAAAAAACGAAAGATGAGTTCTGGGAAAATCTTGATACTTGCATTTTGTAATTACAGTTATACAAATGAGCATTTTCTTTTTCAAGCTTGTTGGTGTGTCTGTGACTAATTGTAAACTTTTGGAGATAAAATCAAAATACTAAATAATGTTAAAATACTAAGTTTGATAATGTTTACTTTTTAAATGTTATTTGTATTTTATTTAGAGACAGAGTTTCACACTGTCACCCAGGCTGGAGTGCAGTGGTGCCATCACAGCTCACTGTAACCTTGAACTCCTGGCCTAAAGTAATGCCCCAGCCTCGTCCTCCCAAAGTGCTAGAATCATTGGTGTAAGCCACTACTCCCAGCCTAAATTTAAAGATCTGATGGAATATAAGACCTGCGCCAGTGGCCCTTCAGGCCCCCTCTGATGGACCATGCTTCTGAGACCCGCCTCTTTCTACCCCATCTCCACCCTCACCCTTCTGTCACCAAGTCCTGTAGCAGCTTCCTGACTAGCCCTGCCATGGAAATTACCCTGGGTCATTAGAACTTAACTTTGTTTTGTGACGTCCCTTCTCTTTAGTCACCAGATTCTACCTACACAAAGTCATCATCTCACTGAATCCACTCAGCTGTGTTACTAGCTGATCACATCTTGATCAGCCACCTCTCCCAGGAATAGCTTGAAGAGAATGACTCCCTAATGGACAACATTTCAGATCCTTTATTTTTTCCTGACAAACATTTATTGAGGGTCTCCATGTTCTAGATGGTGTTCAAGGACCTAGGGATACAGCAGTGAATGCGAAAGATATAGTTCATACCCTTATGGAATTTACATCCTCTAGGGAATAGGAAGCTATAGACACTAAACATGAATACAAGTTGGCCAGGCGTGGTGATGCATGCCTGTAATCCCAGCACTTAGGCAGGCTGACATGGGCAGGTATCACCTGAGGTCAGGAGTTCGAGACCAGCCTGACTAACATGGTGAAACCCTGTCTCTACTAAATATAAAAAATTAGCTGGGTGTGGTGGTACATGCCTGTAATCTGAGCTACTTGGGAGGCTGAGACAGGAGAATCGCTTGTACCGGGGAGGCGGAGGTTGCAGTGAGCGAGAATGCACCATTGCACTGCAGCCTGGGCGACAGAGCAAGACTCCATCTCAAACAAAGAAAAAAGAAAAAGAAAAGTAAGATCATTTCATCTGGCAAGAAGGCTGATGTGCCAGAGCTTGAGAAGGTCTCTCAGAGCAAGTAACATTTGAACCAAGAGTTTTGTGACAAGAAAGTGGCAGCCATTCGAAGATGTGAGGTACAGGCAGTCTAGACAGAGGGAACAGTAAGGGTACAGGGCCAGTTTGAACATGTTTGAAGACCAGAAAGAAAATAATATGGCTGGAGCCTAATGTGTGAGAAGCCAGGTCACTTATTGCTTTTGAGCCACACCAAGGAGCTTGGGTTTTACTCCAGCAGGCAGACAAGTCCATGGCCTACTGGATTTCTATGTAAGGCTGGTCTTGACCTCTGTATGTCTGGCCACACTTTACTTACTATTTGGATTGCCTTGGTGGCCTCTAACTTTCCGGTTTCTTTTCCTATAGGACATTACCGTCATCGGCATCAACATCATTAACATTTACGGGGCATTTTTTAGGTACTATTCCAAGAACTTGATATGCATCATCTCACTTAATCATACAATAATTCTGCAATCCTACAATCCTATGTAGGATTATTGTATAATTATACAATATTGCATGGTTATCCCATTTTATACCTGACAAAACTTTACCATTGTCACCTCCTCTCTTTATAACTCTTCATTGGCTCCCTATTTTCAGTCAAAAAAAGTCCAAGCACTTCAGCAGATTAAACAAAGATTCCCGAATTCTGACCGCTGTTGACCTCTGCAGGCTCATGTTTTGCTTCTTCTTTCTTGAGACTTGATCCTTCTCAAATGCCATGTCTAGCCTCTCTGCTCAAATTGTTCCCTCTGCCTAGAATGTCCTTCCCCTCCCTTCCTGACTTCCCCTGTCTTTGAAGACCGAGTTTAGACATCACCACTCCAGGAAATCATGTTTGACGGCCTCCCTCACTGCTATTTCCACACTTAGGAGGTAGCCACTCTTCCCGTGTGCTTCTGTCATATCCTGTATCATAATGAGAGTCCTTTTAGGATCAGCACGGATTCCTAGAAGGATAGGGAATGCCCCATCCTCCCTGCCAACCACTGATCAGGGCAGGGGACTTACAAGCTTTCCTCCGAGGAGAAAGGCCAGGGCTGCCCCACTTCTGCCAAAAGTCTAAGAGTCTTCTCTGCCTCCCACGACTCATCAGGAATCATTGATTCTTCAGAGGAGACACCTGTCACCCTCACATCTGTGAGAGCTGGGACTCCTGAGGATCTAGGCCTTGAAGGTAGGAGAGGAGCTGACAGTCAATGGGCTCTAGGGAGGCAGCACTACACAGTGGGTAAGCCCATGAGCCTCAACCACATCAGACCTGGCTTCAGATACCTCCTCCATCAGCCACTAGCTGAGACTTAGACCCATTATTTAATCCCAGTTCTCATATTTATTGAGCATCTTTGTGTCAGACACTTGACTCATACCCATTTTTTTTTGTTTGTTTGTTTGAGACAAGGTCTCGCTCTATCACACAGCCTAGAGCACAGTGGCGTGATCATAGCCGACTGTAACCTTGAACTCCTGGCTCACATGATCCTCCTGCCGCAGCCTCCCAAAGTGCTATGATTACAGACATGAGCCAACATGCCCAGCCACGTACTAACTTATTTAATCGCCACCACCCTCGGAGGGAGACACTGTCATCATCCCCATTTTACTAGAGAGGAAACTGAGTCGTGGGAGACTCCGTAATGTAAGCCTGAGGTCACACAGCTGATATGTGGCAGAACTAGGATGGCTGACCCAGGTGTTCGGGCCACAGAGCCTGAGCTCCTCACCCCTGCACTCTCCTGCCTCCTGCAGTGAACCTCCCGGAGCACCAGTAGCCTCATCTAGAAAAGAGAAATATTAGCAGTCCTCTGTCGGGACCGGTCCAGGACAGCACGTCTGCCGGGGGTCTCTCGACCTGCAAGAGGGTCCCAATACCTGGAAGAGAGAGTGCGCGGAAGAAAGGGAGACAGAAAAAGCGAGGCGTCTGGAGGGCTGGATAGGCCGTGCCTAAGCAGCAGCCTTTATTTTTCAAAGGCCAGGAATAAATACACTTTCTTTGCTCTGGTTTACGTCATTGCAAGAGGAAATGCAAATCTATACCTTACATGCCCTATACAATAGAGAAGTCAGATACACAATCAGTGGTTGTAAAAAGTAACAGAATTTCCTGTGATCACAACGCTTGTTTACATCCAGACATTATTCCTCATGGCTGCAGGTATTTCTGGTTTGATCTTGTTTTAAAACTGAGATGTGAAAAGGTTTTCTGGTTTTGCTCATCAGAATATCTTTTAACCAGATTCTCCTTTGTCTGCTCCTGACTCAACTTATCTCAACTCCCCCTATTCAGGAGTCTCTGAGTCAGGGATCAAAGCCATCCCGTATGGTGGCATTTGCTTTGCAAATATCCCCACAGTGAAACCATTATCTAGGGTACAAGGCAGTCAGGCAAGTAAAGAAAAGTTTAAAGCTATACTTAAAGAAAAAGTCATAAAAAGTTAAAAGCAGAAACTGGTTGCTGGTAGGGAGTCACTTGGTCTAGCAGCACTGCATAGTTTTAGGCCCAAATGATATCGTGGTTGATATTAGAAACTGATCATCCATCTTTCAGTTCCTTCTTCCTGATAGCTCGACTGCCTCCAACAGGAAACTCTGTTTGGG